TAGCAAGTGCCTAGCTCAGCTCCGAAGTGTGACAAGAACACCGCCACTGTACATCTTTCTTTCAGAAGATGAGAACACGTCCACTAAAAGCAAGAGTGAAACTACAAGCTAAAAGCAGGCGTGCTTTTCTTATAAGATAATACGATACCATTTTGGCACACTTGTTTGATGAGCTAAGCGCCTTAGTCAGATCAGCTTACGACTTAAATAAAGGTCGAAATCAATCCCTCTTTTTCAAACTTACTAATGAACGACCCTTTGTACATCTTTCTCCAGTTCATGGAAGTGGAGTGAAGGGCTCTAGTTTCAGTTAGCAGCCGTAGTACGACAGTACCAAAGGCGAACGGTATTGTTTTGTACAGCTACTTTTTTTTTATAGGTACAGAGGTAACCGATTTGTAAAAAAACTCAAAGGCATTTCTAGGTAGTTTTGAATCAAAGTAGCGATGAAAGGGGGAAATAGCTCAGTTGGTTAGAGTGCTAGTCTGTTACACCAGAAGTCGTGGGTTCGAACCCCATTTTCCCCGCTCGATCATGCCAACCGAGTGGAAGATGGTGAAAACAAAAAAAGGATGAAGTTCTACAATCAGTGGAGGGTTCCCTTGAGTTATTCATCACAGGCCCCCTGAAAGGTTTGCTTCTTGCTCCACCTCGGACGATCACGGAAATAGCGAGAGGTTGCAGTCCCCCCATACCATAATCCAACCACGTTCCCGCTCGCCGTTCAATATCTTTCCTATGATTACTCCCCTCTTAGGGACCTGGCCTCTCAAATAGACGAGCCCAAGTTATATCATCATGTCAATGCCGATTGAACCTTGGTGCTCTATCAAAGGCAGCCGGTCGAGCCACGGAACCTGCTCTTAGATTGGCCACCCCCCCGGAGAGGGACCGGCTAGATGGAGGAAAGAATGACCGCTTCGGTCGATCCCTTACTTAAAGAAGAATAAAAGAGCAGGTGCCTACTTCATCCTCGCGGAGCGGAATAAGTGAGAGAAACTAATGTGATCTTTGGTCATTTCCCGAGGGCGGTCACCTTGGAACCACCGTTCGGTAGATGAAGTAGTGGGTTGTTCTATAGGTCATTCGGAAGGGCTACGTATAGTTGTTCTATTTTGCGGCGTAACGTTGTGGTTGTTCCCTCGACTGACCGAACCCTCACCTCAAGAGGGATGTGGGTGCTCCCTCCTACTGGGATGTGGGGAGTTCTGCCTCCTTGTCGTACGAAGATGTTGAGCTATAGCTATAAGACAGAGGAAGCATCTTCGCCCACTAGCAATTGCACTGGATAATGTGGCTTCTCTGATCCATCCTAGAAGAGTTCCATTCGAGCCGAGCCCGCCCTTAATGGATAAGGAAGAAATCAAGGAGAGCGAAAAGACTGATTGTAGAACTTTGTCCTTTTTTTGTAGCGCTAGCTTTGCCTACTTTCTTTTAGGAAAGTGATAGCAAAAGGTGAACGATAGGCCTCAAGGCGAACAGCCCCCGCATCAGGTGAACAATTGCCTTTGGAAACTCAATAGAGTCTTTCTTCGTGCCCCTCCCTATTGACGAAAGGTGAACAGCCCCCCTACGACCACTTTTGAATCAAACGGCGAGCAACCCGACTTAAGATTAAAAAGGCTCTACTGAACTACTATCTTTAAGTACATACTTCATTTCATGAAGTATCAAAGGCGACTAGGCGCCCCCCCTACCTACAGCAACTGGCGCTTCAAAGGGCACTACTGAAAGACGAAAGGCCGACATCATGCTTTGTTGTTAGTGATCAGCGGGTGAACGCAGAGCCCTGGTATAGCGCCGCTGATAATCAATAATGTTTGCAAAGGACCCGACGAGCTGCCGAAAAAGGCAGAGATGGTAGAGCACGGAGCCCGCCCTCCCGGCCGACCTGTATCTTAAGTTAAGTCAAGTCAATGAACAACCTCTTAGTTTGAAGCTTTGCAGGAAGCTTCTACTTGTTGAAGC